CCCCCCCCCCCCGGGAGATGCAGCTTCCCCCCACTACGGCCCAAGGTTTAGAGCCCGTGGTGATCACTTGGAGCTTGTGGTTCTGGGGGGTTGTCCGCGGGGTGCGCCCTCCTTCGACAAGATCTTCATGCGCGGGGCGGGACGACCAGAAGGAAACTCTCGCTGAGCCTCGCCGTGGATGCACAAGAACAACATTTTTCCTCGCAGCAATCAGTTGAAGACGGCGGGCGTTGCATCGGTACCGCTCTTCTGTTGGTGTGGTCCGAAGGCGGAGTACTCGTAGTGCCCCCGTCCTTCCGCACGGCTCCAGAAAAATGTGGTGGATTGATTGGTTCGTGACTTCTTGCTCGAGTGCTACTTTGTGACAAAAAAAAAATGTAGCGCTTTTTTTGTTTTGTCCTGCATCGGGAAGAAAGAGTATTTTGCGTGTAGGGGTGTACGTGGGTAGCGGGCCGAGCCCTACTTCCTAACGTGTACGATTGTAGAGAAGTCTGTCGCGTCGGAAACTCCTCTCTCTGCGGCATGTGTTGTTAAAGCGTAGGAATTACATCCGGTTTTGTGTGCGTGTGTGCAGAAGCTATCTTGCGCTGATGGCCGCCTAACAACTACTGCTTACTTTCCACCAAAGTGGTGTGTGTTGTGTGCCGTTTCATGTTGCGTTGCTCTCTTCTGAGTGTTAGCCTGTCCGTCCGTGTCTTGCCGTGCGTGAATGTATACGATAGGCACGTCTGGTGCATGCAACGGGTCGAAGTAGGTTTGGGACTTAAAAGCGGGCGGGGGCGGGGGTGGGCGTCGGAATGAGAGAGCTATGCTAGTCCAGTGGTCGTTAGAGAGCTCGAACTCTGTGCAAAAGCGATGAGCTCTCCCGGCAGACGCACACATCTTGGTAGATTGAACAGAAAGCCCCGGAGAATATGTCAAATCCTCATGCCATGTCGTATCTCATTTTTTTTCGTTAGTTTGTATTATTTCCAACGTTTTGGTTCCTGTTCAATGCGTTCACTATATGTACAGCAGTGAAGTAGTCATCGCTCCGATGTTATGGTTCGCCATTGTGGTTTATTTCGGGGTTTTGTAACCGCTGGCCGATCCGGAGGCGCCGCCGTCTCAGCGGCTGTTTGATGGGGGGACGCTGTGAACCAAGTTATTACTACCTACAGCAGTTGTCGGAGTATCGGTTGTCCTTCAACGCAACTCTCCTCTTGACGTTTCTCTTATCGCGTACTTTTTTTTGTTTTGTTTACCTCGTAGTACGTGATCTTCAGAAGCAGACCTTCACCCGGCACTGGTCGTCATATGTGTTTGACAATATCCATCGCCGCCGCCGCTGCTGCTAGTGGAGGCGGCGATAGTGGTGGTGTCGTTACGATGCGATGCGGGGTGAGACCTACACGCGTAAATCGATGAAGTACCAGTAGTAACACCAGAGCATGGGAGGGGCAAGGGACGGTTGATGACGTGGGCGAGCTAGAGCGAGACGAAAAACTAAAGGAGGTTCGGTGTGCAGTATTGTCGCGTGCGAGCGTGTGATCATGATCCCTTAGAGTATTCTTCTTGCACAATGACGCCGGCAGTGATGGCGTTGCAGGCGAAGATGGAAAAGGGATTGCTCTGTTTTTAGGTAAAAATGATTTTTTGCAGAGATGTAGTTCAGGTGACTGGTTTTGAGTGGGTGTTGGCTAAGGTGGTGAAACGTATTATTATTGTGCATGCGTGAAGGATGGGCAGTGAACTTGCCAGCCTTGTGTTTTCCCCTGGTGGCATGTGCCGATTTTTTTTTTTTATGCTCATCGCTTGTCGCTGACTGCCGAAGATGACGGGCGACGAGAGTTGCGTGGTCATGTTGCTGACGTTGGTTTATCCTTCCTTATGGCGGATGGTAACTCTCCTCCAGTAGAGACCGATGAAACCGAAAATTATGAGAGTTTTGCTTCATGACGACCCGCTGGCGGAGGGGGGGGAGCGGGGGTGTTTGTCGCCACACCCCGGCACCAAAAAACACCCGTGGTACTAGGGTCATGCTGGTTGTTGTCGCTGTTGGCAGACGGCGGCGACTGCCTGTCAAGTGTTCCACCTCTCCACTACGACTCGCGGAGAAATGGAAGTCTCCCCAGAGATGGCGACGGACTCGGCCGACTCAACCTGCATCGGTTTGGGTACTTGTTAGAGGCGGTTTCCTGGGGTACACATAGTATTACAACGCCTCCTCCTGTGGCCAGTGTCAAAGAAACGCCCAATTGAGCAAACCTAACTCGTTCGTATAAACTTGCAAGAGCCTCCAGTCAAGTGCCTGCTGTCCAGAACGAAACTTTGACCAATCCATGGACAGGGGTCGAGACCGACCTTACTCGCATCGTGAACTGCAGGACGAGAGAGTCCCGAGCACCTTCGCTGCGGCATTTACTCCCCGCTTCACACACGCTCGCACGGTGGTGGACAACCCTTCTACGAGCGCCCCGTCCGTCTTTTTCCTCTCCTGTCCCGCGAGAGAGCCCAGGCACACACAGCTCGACTTGCACCGATAAATGGCGCCTTCCCCGCTCCTCAGACCCGTGCCGAGCCAGATGTCGAGCGCGAGACACACAGGCAATTCCGTCGGTTTCCGCCCGCGCTTCAGATACGAAGAACTCGACAAAGATCCAAGTACACATACACCCCCGCCCCCTCTCTACTAGACTTGCGTGTTTTCATCGGTCAGCGGGGCCGATGCTAGTACAAGACACACACACACACACACACACACACACACACACACACACACACACACACACACACACACACACACACACACACACACACACACACACACACACACACACACACACACACACACACACACACACACACACACACACACACACACACACACACACACACACACACACACACACACACACACACACACACACACACACACACACACACACACACACACACACACACACACACACACACACACACACACACACACACACACACACACACACACACACACACACACACACACACACACACACACACACACACACACACACACACACACACACACACACACACACACACACACACAGGGAATCATGGCGTGGAAGAGAGCAAGAGCTTCGAGCCAGAGGACCTCCCGCACAACAAAAGACGGAGAGACAGACAAGAAGAAGAGCTGCCAAAAAGTTGCTGCCAAAATGACGATGAGGATAGTGATGGTAGTAGTGGTGAAAGCAACAAGAATGATAGTGAGAGCACTCCTAAACGAAGTCGAGTGCAGGGTGACAGTCTTAGTAGACACGTGCAGTTTTCTTCTATTATTACTACGGTATCTGTCTTTAATCCTGAGAATAGCGTAGCTCCCCCTACGACGCTCGGTCCCGGGGTCCCAGATAGTGGACTATAGAAACATATTGTGTTTCCCACCGCACTAAGACTGACGTCTTTTCATTGGTCAGCCGGTTAGCGCGGTCGATGGTAATAATAAAAGCACACACACACACACATACACACCTCGCCCGCCCTCTGCTCCTGGAAACTCACGGAGGTGGCTGTTGAGATGGACCAAAGCTTCAGCGGAAGTGCCTGCTTCCAGGGTATAGCATTCCATGCTGCCTCGAATACCTCTGCGGAAGACGTCAAACACACAGCCCACACTCGAGCAAACCCATGCACGCCACTGTACCTTGGCATACTCTCACACACACACTACACTGTGTTTACTTCCTTCCTCCTATTACCCCGGCTGGTGCGTCAAGCACATGCCGGACGGTGTGCAAACTAGCGCCCCGAGTAGATGGGGGTAATCACACACACAAGGCACTCATGAACGCCATACACACACCAGACGATGTCATCAGATCTCTACCGCTTTCTTCATCTTTTGGAGGGAAAGAAGGTGTTCTGGTTTTAGAGTATTCACCGCAGGCCAACCAAGCAACGAATGAGCAAGGGCGGTCCCGACTAAAGCACGAGAGCGGTCAACTACCCACCAAGTTCCTGGCGACACAAGAATACTATTATAGGCCATGGGCGTGTCCCTGCTCCTCCTTCTCTCCTCCTCCTCCTCCTCCTCCTCCTCCTCAGATTAACCAGCCACGACTCGACTACATCCACAACATCCAAACATCAGAGACCAACAAACACATCAAGACCGGTAGGCGGCATCTGCTGGTCCTTGCCTGCCCGATGCGACACAAACCGGGAAAGCAGTTCAACGAAAACATCCTGTTCCTCGCATCTTCGACTTTCACTCGCCGCGCGTACACCCCAAACGCGCCCCCCCCCGCCGAAATCAGGCCACAGTCGCGGCACCCCTGTCAGCCCTTCCTCTCGACGCCCCATCTCCGCAGGAAACGGAGACAGGTCCTCTATCCGCCCCCATACCCCGCGCGCTCCCATGCAGGGCATGGCAGGCTCAAATCGCTCACCACTAGCGGCCTCGTTACCCGTACAACTGACCCATCGCCCGCCGCCTGTGAACGTAGCACCATCCGCCTAGCAACATTTGTCCCTCGTCGCAAGCTTTGACGACGCATCAGGTTTGTTTTTTCACACGTACATGAGAACCTTGGCGTAGATGATATCGGGGAGGGCGAACAGGCTCTCGAGGATCTGTTGCCGTTGCTCCCTGCTGTTGCCGAACGCCTTCAAGACCTGCGCGCCAGCCTTACCCCCGCCCCCGCCCCCCCTTGCGCCTCCCATCATCCTCGGAGACGACGACGAAGAACCGCCGCCGCCGCCGCCGCCGCCGCCGCTGCTGCTACGCTTTAGCCGCGCGCGGCGGAGGCGATCGGCCGTCCAGAGCGCCCTCAACCGGTTGAGGCTCATTCTTCTCGCGTACACGATCAGCGACAGGTCCCACACCCGGAAGGCCTTGTCAGACCCCCCGCTCACCACCGTGCGTGCATCCGGCGACATGCAAAGCGAGTAGACGTAGCCCTTGTGCGCTTCGAACTCGGCCTCCGCCGCCCCGTCCGACGACAACGGCTCGCGATCCGCCCCCGGCGGCGCCTCCCGAGGGACTTCCCACACCTTGACGATGCCCTTGCGGTCGCCGGTCACCGCCCACCGACCGTCCGCCGAGATGGCTACCGCCCGCACCCCTTCCTCGTGGCGCCCCAGCATCCGCATGGTTACCGGCGGCGGCGCCGCCCCGTCCTCATCAGACGATGACGGCGGGTTCTCGCGGTCCGGGCACAGGACGTTGTGGAGCACGCGCACGCCCTTGTCGTAGGAACCCGTCACGAGGATTCCCCTCCCCCTCGCCCCAGCCGCCGAGATCGCGACGCACGTCATGATCCCGGCCTCCTTCACCGCCGCCTCGCCACCGCCGCGCGCGTCGTCCTCGTCCTCGTCCTCGTCTTCCTCCTCGTCCTCCCTCTCTTCGTTCTCGCCGTTGCGCTCTGACCGACCGGCGGCGGCGGCGCACAGGTCCGACCTCGCGGGCCGGCTCACGACATCGGCCTCCTCTCCCCCCGCTTGGTCCGCCCTCGCCGCAGCTGCCGCCGTCCTTACGTCCACGCGGCGCAGCATTGGCTTGGCCGGGGCCGGGAGGAACGTTCCCCCGCAGGCGAGGATTCGAACCACTGACGGCACGACCGGGGCCGGGGACGAGGACGAGGGCGAGGGGGGGCCGTCGGAGCCGCTGCCGCTCC